AGGAAAAAAAAAAAAAAAAATGAAGAAGGAGGAGGGGTAAAAAAGAAAGTGAGGATAAAGAAACTTGTTTCGTATTTTTTGAGAAGCCATACAAGTGTTACTTTCAAAACTTTGGGGCTCTTCTTTACCCTCCATTTTTTATTTTTTTCTAATTTTATTTTTTTATTTTTTTTGGTTTGTTCAGGTTTTTGGGTCATTGCGTGTCTGATGAACGCTCTGGCACATGAAATACCAAACGAGTAATGTTGGAAAAAAGATACGAGAATGTGTATAGAAGATTATCAGTAGTTTTTTATTTTTTATATTTATTGTAGCAAGCCCTTGCTCATTGTCGAAATAGCCCTTAAAAATGTTACTTATAATCTTAGCCAAACATGCAACTTGCGAAAAATCGAAATGGGTTGTACTTTGTCTTTATAATTACAAGATAGTCAAAAGTTCACGAAGAATGCAAGAGATGATTGCATTTATACGGTATATTGGACATAGACATATAATGCAGTCTAGTAGAAATATAGATAGTGTTGAATAAAATAAATGAAAAAATTATTTTTAAAATATTCTTTATTGTATTTTACGATCCTATTTGATACTATTTACTAAATATTTTGAAGCCCAATTTCTCACGATAATTCCACGATATTCACGATCTTACATTCATGGTGTCCGAATTTTAGTAAAACAATCACAAAGTATCTACAGCCAAGAGCCCAAATTAAAATTTGTACCTCAGAGGAAAAATGACAACTTATAGAATCAAGAATATTTGCTGGCTAAACTCGCTAACTGAGTCACACACGACTCAAACTCGAACACATTAATATACAAGAGAGCATAAAAATTATATGAATATTGACCAAATTGACGTTGGAATCTCTTTTGGGATTTGAATATGACATGTTTGGCCCAAAAAAATGCTATGGCTCTTTGGTTATGCTGATAAGAGGCCTGTGATTGATTTTTGGTAAAGCTTTGTCTCCCCCATTTATTGTGAATTTTTTACTTTGTCCCAATACTATTCTCATGAGGAGACAATGCTTATAGTTTTCTTCGAACGAACGCCAACTTACTTTTATGCAAATTAATTATTGTATTTTAGGTACGAGATGAAATCTATGTAAGTTGTAATTATGCAATGACGATTATCATGTTCATTTGTAAAATAGAGTTTCGATTAAAAACCGATGGGTGAAGGAGGAACAAAGGGATCATCTCCATCATATAATATAGGTTTAAAAAACGATGGGTAAAAGAGGAAAGCATAAAAGAAACACCCCCTAAGAAGTCAATGAAAAGGCTACAGTAGATGGAAAGTCGAGATGCAAGTGTTTCAACTACGGCCAGAAAGAGCATTGGAAGAAAGATTGCCCACGACCCCGGATTCAGAAGTAAAGCATAAACATATAATAAATGAATAAATACAAAAATATAAGTGTCAAAGAACAAAAATAACTCGACCAAACAAAAATAAACTTCAGAAAACTAAAGTTGAATAGCAAAGAATTATTTCGGCCGTAGCCTTGAAGGTTCGGTGACCGCTTCTAACACCTACATTCCCCGTTGAGCATCTAATAAAAGGATTATGTTCAGTTGCGCTAAGAACAACACAAAATGGCAACAAAGATTACAAAAGTTCAGAGAAATGAAGAATAAGAACTTGTCTCTCAAATTACAGTGATGACTCTCAAGATCCACTAAGAAATAAAGAATAAGAACTTATCTTTCTAGATCCATGATCATCCAACGGCCAAGAGAGCAAAACATGTCAGCCATCCAGAAGCAACGCTCAACTTATAAAAGCGTGTTTCTCATTTAAACACGATTTTCCAAAAAAGCAAAATCTGGTAGCGCCAATTAATGAGAGAACCAGGGTTCGACCCCAACAATATCCACAGGTCCCAATCACTGAGAGAGTAAACAAAATTTTAAAGAAGAAATATGACATATACCTTCATCTCCAAAGCAGTAGTATCAATATAAACTGCCATTTGGAAGTTAGATGGCTCTGGGAAACTCGATGTCACTGCTTCAATTCAATAGCCACCAAAACAATTGCTTTGATCAGATTCTAGCTGTTACCGTTTCTTCACTGAAATGGGGTTGTTCAAAAAGCAAGAAAAAAAAGAAGATTGCCCCGCAGACCGGACTAAGAAGTAAAACATAAACATAAATAGGCAGAGAATCAAGCATGAATTTACTTTATGAACCAACATCAGGACTTGACTCAGACTTTGAACTTAATCTTAAAAATTAAAACAATAGCCAAAAACCAATATAATCTGTGCTAACCATTCATTAATCCAGATCTCATGATGGTTCCTTGAATCTCCTTGAGGAGCAGCTAAATTTTGCAGGCAGGCTGTTATATCCCTCAAAATGTCAATATGCTTTAATTTTCCGTGATACGACAGAGAGCCTGGATGATAGAAGAAAACATATTGAACAAGGTCAAATGGAACAAGAATGAAAAGCTCCATCTTTAATCTTATGGATGGAAATCATTGGTTTTAGTTTTACTGCAGTTCTCCAAAGAGGTTGATTTTCATGAACAATATCATTAGAACTAAGAAACTTTTCGCAGCAAGAAGAATGAACGTATTGGGGACGATTTTCGCGAATGCTTTTAGTTGCTCCAAGAGACTGAAGCTGCAAAACTACATAGGCCTCAGCATGACCTTATCGTCATCAACAATAGAAGCTTAATCAGTTTTCTTTGACGAAAGGAGAATTCTATTGAGAGAAACCAACATAGCAACTCAACACTGATTTCAACGTAAAAAAATTCACAGATTCTAGCGCGTGACACCATGTCCCTATTCCAAGGTTTGGAAATTCGATGCTAATAATCAACAGCACGTAACGGCTTTCAGAATATATGTAGTATGTATACGCAATCTTTCTCAAGAAATCCAACCTAAAAGAACTTATTTCACAATTAGTTAAAGGTCTACAGCAAACTCATATATTTTGGAGATCAAATTGTACTGTCCTGTCCTGTCTATACGATTGAATACAATATCCATTAACTAGAAGCAAGTAATGTTCATTAGCTAATTTAAACACCATCAAGTTCTGAATTAATACTAGTTAATATGAGGACTTTGGCCGATAAGTTAATCATGGCCTTTAGATATATCGAGCCCTTGGCCTCCGCTCCATTTCTAATAGTCAAGTGGTTCATAAAATAGGGGATCTGAGAAGCAAACTTGGTCCACGAAGGCATGGCCCCGGTGTAAGGTGGAACTAAAACCACGGAGAGAGTGCCGAGGATTGGCCTTCTTGACAGGGCCGGCCCCAACAAAGTCACGGGGTGGTCGGGAACAATGGCGCAACATGTAATATCCCCTTACATTTTCTGACAACAAAAGGTGCAAACAAAGATTTATCATTTGAAACATCTACGTCCCCCCTTAAGGAATTGATTCTGACAAGATGGCATGATCCTACGAGACATTAATTAAAACTGGTAGACTTTTATCTGAAGAATAATGATGCACATAATTAAACTCCCACCTCCATTTCAGATGAAAGCTTTAAATGAAGGTCAAATTTTCAAAATAATTTCTTACTTTTTCGGTGGGCAGTTGGAAGTGAAGTGATCATAACATCCTAATTTATTAGGCCCCGTTGGTACGTACTTTTTTAAAACTCATTTTTTGACAAACTCACTTTCAGCCACACATTTTGCTAATAAAAATAATTTTGCAAGTAAACTCGAAAATTTTTTCTACTTTGAACCACGCATTCTACAGAAAAATTCACTTTTTATGAAATATTTTCTCAAAATGGAGCTCAAGCATGGACTTAAGAAGTTGCATATGGCAGTGCACAACGAGCCTTTTATTTTCTGTTCATTTTTTTTCTTGGCAGATAAAAAATTTAAAGTACTTGCTGGAATGAAACCAACAACCTGGGTAGAGCAAATCATAGTATGTACTAAGGCGACCAATTACCATTATTTGTTCAGTGATCAGTTAATGTTGTTTATGCATTGGTCTGTCTGTATTGTTTCTGTCATTTCACCTAAGTCCTACACATTAAATTTTCAGCAACTGGGCAGATGAACGCTTCAATCATATCCAAACAATTGCACAGACAATATTTTGACTTCTTTTTCTCATTTAATAACTAACTGCGTAGAGTTTATGTTACCAAAAAAATAGTTGTTCAGATAACGAGTAAATATCATTTGCATAAACCGAACTTTCTCCAAAATCTCAATTAGGTCAATAAAGTTTAATTTGCCCGTGTTTGGCCACTGAAATTTAATTTAGTTTCAAATTTCATTGCTCGCTCACATTTATGATTATCCTATAATCCTCAAAACGGATAAAAAATTGTTTAGCTTGCAGCCATGCGGTGAATAACCATCCACGTTTTTGCTACGTGGCAACCTAGAAAAAGAAAATGTAAAATGAGTGTTTATATCAATGTCTTTATATTATAAAATTAAGAGGTTAAAAGGCCTGCTTTCTATAGCACTTTTCTGACGTGGTGCAGTGGTAAGTTGGCATGCCGCAACAGGATTATGCAGAAGATCTATTTTAGTATGGCTATCAATTGAGCAATTTTCATAAGTTTGGAGGCGACATGTGAGGGTGAGAAAGTGGTGAATTTTGAAACTAAATTGAAATTTAGCAACCCAATTAAAACTAATTAAATTGAAGTACAATGGCTCGATTGAGATTTCCGTGAAAGTCACTGACATAACGTATATCCCCACCTACTGCTAATTAAAGCACCAACAAATACAGTTAACCTATGACACTACGGGTCATCAATTAATCTTCATCACGGGTACTATATATCTTCATCCGTGCATGGTTCCTCTCCTGGTGAGTTCTGTTAAAACGAGGAAAATCAAAGGAAAAATAGAAAATGGCTTATGTGCACGTACTGCTATGGCTTTTCTTAATGCTTATAGTAAAAATCAGTGCCAAAGTTCCAGCTATAATTGTGTTTGGGGACTCATCTGTTGATGCTGGAAACAACAATTACATTCCGACAATTGCTCGGAGCAATTTCGAGCCATATGGTCGAGATTTTAACGGGGGCAAGCCCACCGGCCGCTTCTCCAACGGCCGAGTTCCGACTGATTTCATCTCAGAGGAACTTGGTCTTAGACCATTTGTTCCTGCTTATTTGGATCCTACGTATAAAATTTCAGATTTTGCAGTTGGTGTTACTTTTGCTTCTGCTGCAACTGGATATGACAATGCAACTTCTGATGTCCTAGTAAGTTTCGAAATCTTATTCACAGTACTGTATATGAAACATACTCGTATGATTTTAACACGAACAAATTACTTGCAGGGAGTGATACCTTTTTGGAAGGAGTTAGAATACTACAAAGACTATCAGAAGAAACTTAAAGCCTACTTAGGTGAGCAGAAGGCCAGTGAAACTATTGCTGATGCGTTATACTTGATAAGTATTGGAACGAACGACTTTCTAGAAAATTATTACACGCTTCCTAAAAGACAAATGCAGTACACCGTCGATGAATACCAAGATTTTCTAATCGGGATTGCTAGAAATTTTATCGTAAATCTTCATGGTCTGGGGGCACGTAAAATCTCTCTTGGGGGCCTTCCTCCAATGGGGTGTATGCCATTGGAAAGAGCAGAAAATATACAAAGTGGAAGTGCTTGTGTGGAGAGTTATAATGTTGTTGCCTTGAATTTCAATAACAAGTTGAGTAATTTAGTAATGACGCTAAACAAAGAACTGCCTGGGATTCAACTGGTTTTCTCCAATCCTTATAATAAGTTGCTGCAAATAATTAAGAAACCATCATTATATGGTACGTTTTCAAACCGGTTCTCTTCTTTACTCATGTCTAGTTCGGTGACTTGAATAATGAATTACTGATTTTTGCAGGATTTGATGTTTCGGAAGTGGCATGTTGTGCCACGGGGATGTTTGAGATGGGGTATGCGTGTGATCGATATAATCCGTTGACATGTACGGATGCAAACAAATACGTTTTCTGGGACGCATTTCATCCTTCGGAGAGGACAAACGCCATACTTTCCTATCATATGGTTAAGACCGTTTTACACCAATTTCATTGAAAGAGCGAGAGAGCTTGTGTATGAATGTTAGCGTGTTAGAGAAAAGTGTGCGCTTTTAACAGAGAAAGGGATATAGTATTCCCTGTTGTAATGGTTTGGTTTTCTAAAGCTGCTTTATAATTCGAATATGTAAAATATATATACATGCATACACTGCTATTATAACTGTTTTTCGATATTCTTGTTAGCACTCCCCAGAAGAGTGATAATTCATCCCCTACCAAATATACTTAAGAAGCTCATTTCCATAAACCTCCAGCAACTAAATATTTCCTTTCGAACATATGATAACTGACAACTTATGATCGAAATTGTAAAAAAAAACATCACCTACCATGTTACTGGTCATGGCCTGCACTGTTCCAACTAAAGCGAAGGAAACTTGCAGCCAAACCCCTCAACCCTGAGCTTCCAGTATGTACACACTTTCACTTCCTAGACCACCGTCCTAGATAAAAAAGAACTACCGATATTCGTTATCATTAGACACCCCAAAATCATATCTAACTCCCTAGGCTAAGATCCACAAGTAAAAGCTATAAAGGGAAAGATGAGTAGACATTATTTTTAGTGTCACCACGGAGAGGGGTGTAACACTGGGAAAAAAGGAACAAATTACACCTTTCCAGCGGAGCTTGACATTATAAGTGAAAACAAGCAGACTTGTAAGTACATATTATCGAACAAAGTTACAAGGAAGAAGAGAATTAGAAAACATAGTAGCAGCTCCAGTCACTGGCGTGAATTAAACAACTGGAAGAATACACACTACAAAATGTATTCATGCTCTAATGATATAAATTAGGATGAACACTTTACACATTATTAAATTATAGTATACTATGTTACCATTTGGGGTATACCATATGCATGTGTGTTGTTTGTTTCCTGTGCAGCAGAAGTTTCCTCATCGACGGTTGGAAAATCTGCCAAAAGAAAATGGAAATGAAAGAAATAAAGATTCATAACAATACATTAAAAAGAAGGAAATTTAGTGCATAAAATGAGGAAAAAAATGATCAGCCTCGAGCTTTCCTCCTTCGAAGCCAAATATGAATTTGCTTGGATATCATAATGTTAATCAAAACCAACTATTCTAAATATAAATGGATTAAACTTTTGTAATCTAGTCTCCTCTAATTCTATTCGTAAAAATTGGGATAATCACCTGCAAACTCTCGCGGGGATGATCTCCACTTTTTACATATAGCATTATTCTATATTATAAGATCAAAACAAAGCACAAAGGCTATTAGGCACCACTTGTTCTAGAATATTCCAGCAATTGCAGCTTTCAAACATATAAATTACTCAACATGGTCATCACGTCATGAGCCCTATGGATTATCCATTTCAATGAAAATTGATTGCATAGTTCACATTTTTGTAAATGCTTTTGACACCGAACCTCTAATCAACCTAGACACATAAAAAATTCTCGGTGTCGAGAGAGATTTGAGATCTGTAAGTAAAGGATAAGGGTAATGAGAGCCCCAACCAATCACACTCTTTCCCATCCCTATCCCGGTCAAAATTTGAATAGCAACCAAAGAATTGACAGTTATTAAACAGTTAATCTATGATGGAATCACATGATAATCTGGCATCCAGAGGATAACTTTGTCAAGCTAAAACTGTTTTTTCGGCTTGTTAATACTGGAGTTTTGTTTAAAACTCAACCCACAGAAATGAGCACAATTAGAATGAACAAATAATTATGTCTACTTAGAAATACTACCTTTGATTATGGGTGTAGTTAAATATTTGTTATTCCCTCCAAGACCTGGTAAATATATTGGTCAGCATATTTCCGGAGAGTCTCTGCAAAGCCTTCTTAGCTCCAGCCACATCCATATCGGCTAATCTCTGCAAATGACCATAAGCGCCGGCTGTCATTAGCCTCTTCCGACAATCATGGCTCGATCCAGCAGTAAGAGCAACTACCACTGCCATGGGGAACTTCTTTGAAATAACATCATTAGCAGGATCCAACATGTTCACAAGCTTCATTAAAATCTTTTCATCTCTCACAAATTCTTTCCTATTCGAGCTCACTGATAACAATGACACTAAAGCATTCGACCCAACCTCCTGCAATCCATCGGGCTTCACAGACTCCATTAGCTTCACTAATGAACCCATACAACCACCAATGGCTCTCTTATTACCATCACTTATCGATAAATTAGCAAGCAATGAAGCACAAATTTTCTGTAACATAATGCTCCCATATTTTACTAGCTCAGCTATGTGTATTATAAATGTTGTTGATCCTGATAAAGTCAGGTGGCTTGATTGGGAATCTGATAACAAATAAATTGAATGCAATACATGTTCTATTGTATCAGGGCTTGAGGATTCGTGAAGCAAATGTAGCAATCTCTGCAAGCCCTTTTCTTGTAACAAGAAGTTGTGAAAGAATTTACCAGATGAAGCGAGAATGGCAACACAATTAGCAGCTTTCTCTTGAGCTGGGGGGATCCCACAAACAAGTAATTGAACCAAAACAGGGATGGCTCCTTCTTCTGCTAATGCAATTCGAATATATTCAACTGCGCAAACATTTCTTATAGCCCCAACGGAGTATGATTGAGCTGTAACAGAACCAGATTTACATAATTCTGTTAGTACCGAAACACCTCCATAGGCAGAAATCGCCCATGCATTATCAGGATCTGCAGTGATGAACTCCACGGCCATGGCAGCCTTTTCTTTTAAGGGCATTGAGATACATTCAATGATCCTCAACAATGGACCCAAAGCCCCCTCTTCGAAAACACATTTCCTCGACATATCACTCGCCGAAGCGAGCATTGACACCGCCACAACAGCTAGTTCTCTCACAGAATCCGGATAAATAGGATCGAGCAAGTGGATCAAGCAGTTCAAATTCCCTTCTTTGGCAACAACACTCCCAGACTTTTCATCCTCGGAAAGGAGCTGAATTAATGAATCCAATGCCTTGCGCTTGAACTCAAGACCCCCGATCTGGAGCCTTGTAAAGAGGTCCTTTACGAAAAAACAGAGGTCCTCTTTTGGGCCATTGGCACTGGGGTGAGAGAGAACAATGGCATTAGACTGATGAAGGACCCCCGAGCGGAGTAGGAGATCAAGATCGCTGTTTTGCTTCGAAAGCCAACCAGAGGCCATGTCGAGGTCCGATTGCATGATGAGTTTCCCGGGAGTAAATGAAGGGTCAGAACACTGATTGCACAGGATTTCAACATGGAGGAGAGTCGAAAGGAGATCGGGAAGGAGGGTACCCAGTAAAGGGTTGTAGGCCCAGTGCGAGGAATCCGAGATTTCGGAAAGAACCCATTTTAATGTACCAAGCTTCGATCGAAGGCACTGCCATCTCGATGTAAAGGTAGTAATGGAGAGAGTAGACTGCAACAGATGACTCAGAAGTTGGGTTATCTGATATAGTATCTCGGTGGAACACGGCTGCTCCGACGGTGGCTTTCGCTGGTGATCGGTGGTGGGATGCATTTGCATATGGGTATTGTCTATTTTTATCTTATTTTATTGTAATTCTTTGTGGGTTTAATAAATATATTCCACTTCTTTTAATCTCTTTGAGGGTGGGAATAAGCACGTGGGAAGACTCAGCTGCGTCTGTGTTTGCGGTTTGCCTGGAATCGGAGAAGACAATAGGCTAGGGCATGGGTGGTGTGGCGTGGGTCGTAGGTGGGGTAGAAGTGAGAGTGAGCGCGCTAGAAACTAGTCATGGCTGTTAGCGAGTGTAGGGTTACCGCCACGAATTATTATGGGCCCGGGTTTTTTGGGTTTATTGAATCTAATGGGAAAATTACACAAATAGCATTAAATGTGAGCAAACAAATATTCGAGAGTGGAAACTATGGGCAGAGAGGAATTAGATTTAGGGCGGAACCTTTAGAGAATTTGACTTAGGCCTGGACTTTATTAGGCTCGGGCAGAATTTCATTTCTTTAAAAAATAAAGGGAAGGAAAAATTTCATAAGTAAGAGATTATTTATCACCTATTTAAAAAGTAAGAAAAAATGTTTCAAGTTTCAAAAATCGGATATTTATCAAAATATATTTATGATTTAATTAATTAATTATATATTTTATTCATTAAATATATTAAGGTCACAGTTTTATACAAGTTGGTCACAATTTCACAAATTTAATTACCTACATATTATTTTTGGTCACAAATCAAAATTTTTATATGTCACAAATTATTTTATGGTTACAATTCAAAAATTTTATAAGTCACAGTTTGTTTATTGGTCACGGATAAAAAATTTATACGTCACAAATTTATTTTTTAGTCACAGATCACACATATTATAAGTCACAATTTATGAAACAATCACAAATTAACAATTTTATAGGTCACGCATTATTTCTTGGTCACAATTCCTTTTTCTCATTAGTCACATGTTGTTTATTGATCACAGATTAAATCATTTGTGACTGCTACCAACACTTGTGACCACTACTGCTGTCAGCAGCATTGACGTCACAACTGTCGTGGGCAAAAATTGCCACCATCATCTCCCGATAGCCCCGTCATCTCAAAACACCACAACGAGCACACCTTACCACCAAAAAACGAAATAGAAAATCCCAACACTCGACAAAATCGCCAACAGACCAGATGGAGGCGCCACCACCATCAACACCAACGCGGCGCCTCCACCACAACCACGTCACACATCTCTATACACGTAGATTTGGATTTGACTATGACCGGGTTTGTAGCAGCTTCCGATCAACGCTATGCGATGTGTATAAATTCAGGCAACTCCATTCGATCGCTTCGATGCTGAGCCTCAGCGCTGGAGGTAACATAGCAGAACAACCCCGAACTTTCACATCCACCACAACCACAAATCCACACTTCCACCCCCACACAACCGTAAATTAACCACGCCGCTACGAGCAGCGACAGCACCATGCGATGACGAATCAAGTCGTCATAGTCGCCCGCTGGAGAAACGACGGGAAGGGTATGAAAGGGAGAGAGAGGATAGAGAGAGGGAATATATTTTAGGGTTGGGTGATTTTAGGGAGTGGAAATGGATTTTAATTTTATAACTTTATTATTAATATTTAAAAAATGTTATGATTATCTGGTTTTTGAATTTAAAAACTTTAAATCTTAACTTTGAATTGGGAATTTGAAACCTAGGGTTGGCTGTAATTTCCACAAAAATAAAAGGAAAAACAATTGGGCCTTGGAGACCAAAACCTCACCTTTAATACATGTGGATCCATAATCACACTATGGGTAAGGTTAGGAAGCCCAATCCTCATTTACTCTGTCTTAAATAGTTGTTGGAGTTAGATATCATCCCTTGTACAATGATTAATCAAAATTAAAGACTAATTTTATACCATCAAAAGCAATAAAATTTCATCATGTAAATTCCATTTTCCACATACAAGGTAGGAATTTCATACCTCTTTTGACCTTTGAAAACCGGAGCAGCGCCCATACTACTAGGAAAGAATGAAATGCATAGGGGACCATCCTTTTGTTGCAGCATGCTCCACAAATTTATTGATTCGCAGGGGGCCTCGGGCCCTACTTAGTTCACTGATGCAGTAAAAAAAAAA